GTTACAGGTCCCGGAAGTGATAGAGCATTAAATGAAATACGTCAATATTCTTGCACTTATTAAATGTCCAACTTTCCATATTCTCTGTGTTTTGGAAACTTAGTAGTCAAAAAAATGTTGAAAACTCGTCGAAGAGCAAATTAACATCCATAAGGAATTTGATTCTAACAGCTAACAAATAAGCTAAATAAAGTTTTTAAGGAATTAACTTGTTAAAAATGCTTTTTTCCGGAATACTCTGAAAAAGTCCTGCACCGCAGACACAATAATGCGCATAACTTATTGACACGGTGACTTTTTTGACAGCTCCGGAAATTCAGGAAAAACCCCGTTAACAACGAGCAAAAAAACATAGCCACACCCAATCCATCAATTTGATGACAAGAATTTGAAGAGAGTTGACTGTGTGGCATTGAGCGGCTGCAAGTGGTTGAAGGGTGGCAAAATTACATGCAGAGAGCGGGTCGAGGGTGGAAGTTTGGCCTCAGCCGGAGTGAGTGCTGGCAAATATGAAAGTCCGGAATGGACGGGCGGGTGGTAGACCGCGTTTTGCGCGGAGGCCATGACCGGATTCTCCCCTCCTCTTCTTCTTTTCTACAATAAAATCCCGACCATCCACCCCCCATGCTCCATACAGCTCCCCTACCCTCATGCTCACCCGCCCATCGACACGTTACAGCGTAAATTAGCGTGCGAATTTGATGCGAGCGGTCAGCGGCGATTAAAATATGGGCTATAGTCCGATGGGACCGGTCGACTGGAATTCTATACGATACGATCGAGAAGTGTTATGGTTTTAACATGCAAAATAATTTAAATAAAACCTGAAAAATTGAAAGTGCAGAGTATCGCGTACGTCTGTTGTGGCGTTCAGCCGGAAATCCTCACTTATCGGGTTTTAATGTTGTTGACAGGAAGTGTACTGTAACTCTCACGTATGTATACGTATTTACAAAAATCACGACAATTTATTCAGGGTTGATTGAGAATATGATGGTGATTGGCAACCAGACCTAAAAATAGGGTTTCCTCTACTTCGCCACATCGTCACCGGATTTTCAGGGAAGCCATTCCCAGGTTCCCCAAAAACTGCAAAAAAGTTTACTCCACACTTCCTCGTCCTTTAATGCAAGAACGGTGCATATTTAAACGGATTCAACTCCTCTTTCAGCTCCCCCTTCAAGTATCCACTTCCTTTCCAAACCCACTTCAGTTTGACGAGGACTCCGGGGACCCCCAATTTCGGTCTGCCTATTGTTTCTAGCCATAACAAATGAAACCGGAAGGGTTCGAAGTGTCTAGACGTGTTAGAGACTTCACCCTCCACCCAGCATCACGTTTTGTTCAATGCCAACGTGATTTCAGGTTCAACTCTGGCCCTAGTCTGGTCACCCGCACAGCCAACCAAGACACGACCCCACCCTCTTGCCCCCGCGAATTTTCCGCCTCATTTCAGGGGCGTTTCCGACCTTTTTATGAGTGCCTCGGCCACCAAAACATTTCTCATTCATAGACCATTCAAAGATCTTGCCAAAACGCTCCTGATGGTCAGCTGTTTACCCATAAATTTATCATTCAAGAGCGAGCTTGGTCTGTTTGATAGCGGCTACCAACTTGCAAAAGTTCTGTTTTGATTTTCTATGGCTTTAAAGATAGGCCATCATAGAAGATGCGTATAATAGTCTTCAATGATATATTTAGATAAATGAGAGTTTTTTTCGCTTATGTCCATCTTCACCATTTTAGATGTTATGCAAACTGCCCCCGGGTCATCAACATCTAACCACCACGGTTCCAGGCTTTCCCAGTAATTCCGTAATGATGGTGGAAGCTTTTAATTAGATGGTTGGCAAAGAAGAAGCCCCCCTTGGCTCACGCCATTTAAGGACCACTTGGCACGAGGCTTTATTTTTTGCGTGGGGGGAGGTTCCGGGCCGGTGAAATTTCTTTGCTGTGAACATAGACACGAACAGGCCCGTAGCGGAACCGAAATTTCGGGGGGCCCAAAAATTTTGGCAACCTCCCCCCCGGTCGCCACTTTTAAAACATCCGAAAATCTCGTCAATAATAGCGCCGCAGGCAAAAAATAGCACAAAAAGTGTTCGCTACACTCAAATTCGTGTGAAAACACGGCAGAAAACGCGCCGCAGGCGAAAATTTTTTATGAACAATTGATTCACGAATGAAAAACCAGCGCCGCAGGCAAAAATTTTTGAAAAAATAGGCTTCATATAAACAAAAACTGTCTGAAAAACAGTAACAACAGCGCCGCAGGCAGAAAAATCTTTGTAAATGAAAATCATAAGGGTCCCCCTTATGAATTTTTCAGACCTCGACCGATTTCGGGGGGGCCAGGGCCCCTGGCCCCTCCTACGGGCCTGGACACGAAGAACCCTTCTATCGGCTGGATATGGCAATGGTTCGGTGCTTCCATAATTCGTATGGGATTTATCGGAAGTGATTAATAATTAGTGGGTTCTCCTACGGGCCAGTCCATCCTCCTCCCTTCAGTTGCCCCATCCCACCAGATGAGGGGGGGTTGGGGTGAATTCTAGAAAAGAAGGGGGTTGGGCCCTAGGGGCTAATCTGCGTAGTGTCTGGATTCACGACTTCATCTCAAATATGGCTTCTTCGGATTAGGACCACGGGTATATTAATCGGTTCCACCCGAAAAGAGCTTCTAGACGTTCTACGCGGGATCGGAACTTTTATGACATCCTTGGATTTTGAAAAACGATCACCGAAGTTAGTCATTTCCGTATTACTGAAATTTTGGAGGCTGTGATGCTGGCTGATTCAATTTGCATCATTCATACGTGTTTTTCTAGACTTCTGGTACCACATTGCCTACAACCGTCTATTTTATGCCCTTAATGCGCTGACGCCTATATTTGAAATTGTATTCGTCGGATTCATTTTCCACCAAACCTTACTCATATTTCGAAATACTAGCCTCGTGCCAGACAATGAGAGGAGATTACCCTTTTTCGAAATTCAAGGGGAAATTAGCAGCAGCCTTTTTGATATGTGTGGGATGGGGGCATTCATCCGAATAGACAAAAATTGAGTCACTAGAATTTTGCTATGGCACATTTTACGTTTGAATAGGTTTAAATACAAAGCTATGTTGAACCCGTCCCGTTTTTTTGGGTGCAGCTTCCAACGCCTTTTTCGAATAATACTAGACATTCTAGTCGCGTTTTGCGGTGATTTTCGGGTTCTTATGTGGTGGCATGCGGCGGACTACTGATTCAATTCCCAGAATAAGCCCTAAAATTTGGTGGCGTAGGAGCTAGTCCCGATTTTTTGGAGGACGCCTTTTGCTTGTTGGAGCTGTTCCACCTGCATTTGGCAGCTGCTCTACCGTTTTTCAGAATATTTTCTGATTACCCGAGGTCAACAATGTTACTGAAATTTGGCAATGCGCTGAAGTACATCCGAGTTGTTGTCGATTCAACTTTGGTCTTATACAAAACCTTTATAGTTTTATTATCAATACCGAAAAATTGTTCAATGCGTAATTTCACAATTCACCCGCCACTGGGGACCGATAACAAATTTTGTAGCGTCCCAGAGGCGCTCTCAGGTTTTTAACTGGCTCAAAAACGAGCTCGGCCCCTCGGCGCCGGCAGCTACCCCCATACAATTCTTGTGTCAAAGCCCTAAAAATGGTTGTTTATGAGCCGGGGAAATCAAATTTTGGCTCTACTTATGTCCACCCGTCCAGTATGCGCGCCGAGACCAGGAAGACGTGTATTTTCGAGCCTTGCTGTGTCTCTTTTTGCAAATCCCGGGTTGGAAAATCCTATTTTAGCCCATACAGGGTTGATGTCATTAGGTAGCAGACCGGGTTTAGAATTTTACATGAGCTGGAGCAGTTCTTTGGACAGATGATTTTTGTCTCACTTGAAAAATTCAGTAGGAAGGGTCGAGTGAAATCTCCCTTTCCCCGAGGGGCCAGCAAGGGGTGAATTTCTAAAACATACCGCTACTTCGATTTGTTGGCTTCACTCCGAATCCCCGTCTTATTTCGAAAATATTTTTCGTTTTGCAAGGCAATTCCGCTGTTCCGAGGATTTTTCGAAAAATCACTAGGTTCCATTGATACCGCTCTTCTTTGACCCCTTCGATTCATGTCCGATTAACGGAGAAACATTTTTAAAAGCCACTTGTCATTTTCAGGGATGCAGACGCTAGTTTTTTTGTTATGCCTTGCGGCGGCCGTCTACGGGCAGATGACGTTCAGTGATGGTTGGGAGAAGCGGGCACCCTTTTTGGGTACGTAAGCCAATTCAGCCATTATCTGTGCTCTAAGAGTTCAATCATGTGATATTTTAATTTTTAGGCAAAACATCACATGCTACTACTCCGCAACACCAGTGCAATGTTCGCTTGCAAGAAAAAATGAAGGAGATTCAAGCCCTCTTAACGGTAACTTTAGATTTGCTAAAATTGGGCGATTCCCACACTTTTGCACGGTTATTCTGGAGTGGTTTTGGGAGCTTTGCTTTTTCGCACGATTTGGCATTCACGGAAGTGAAACCCATTTTTGAGGCTCGACTTGGCAAAAATTGAAAGAACCTTAAAAATATTTATTGAAGTCCTCAACGATCACGAAAAATGTTTTTCAGGCAGCCGATCTATCGTATGAAGCATGCATCGAATCCCTGGCCGCCCCAGCACAACGCCGATTGAAAGAGAAGAACGACTACAGCTTCATCCCGCACTCTTCAGCGAGCCAGTACAAAACGGCCCAAGCGAACTGACCACAAGAACATACACAATAAAGTTCTTTCCGTAATAAATTGACTACACTGTTAGCGAGCATGACTTCAAGATCACATGAACAAGAAAAATGGCAAGCTAATCCGGGAAAGGGTCTGGATTAATTTTCTGGACAATGCAATAAGTCGTTGGGATCACAGGGATCAATTGGAGAATAAGTTCAGGGGTGAAAGGAATGGCAAAGGGAAATTTTAGGTACAATAATGTCAATTTTATAAGTTGGACGACTCGTCGGGGACATCGTTAGTACCCATTGGATAGTTGAGCGAGATTTGCTAAAAACGGTTTCAGAAAAGGTGCGCCTTTCCTACCGTAATATCCTTGGCAGATGGCAGCATGAAATTTCCGTTGAAAAGGTTACCATAACTCTGTGTGACCTGTTTAGACTATTAAGTAATAAAACTGATTAACTACCGTATAATACGCGATCCTCTGATAGTCCCATTCACACACCAGAATGTTGCCCTGGCAGTGGAACTTGTCGCCAGGGTTGAGCCTGAAATAGCCTCAAATATTTCATTTCCGGGATTGCGATGGGTGCATCTAGCTATTCCAAGGGGTGGGAGGATGATGACGCTGTGGGAGGATAATAAAAGAATGGGGGAATTCCATGCGGCTCAGAAATTTGCACGCACACCGGATTTGAAGCCCTCCCGGCCATTGTAAGGTAAGGAGATTATTTTCCTTTGTGTTCGGGTACGAAAATACCTTGCATAATCAAGGGTTCGGTTGCAAGAATTTCAGATTTGAGTTAAGAATGAAGGAGTCGCGTTTTAGGAAAAAAAAACATTTTGCTTTTCAAGATTATAAGGTTTTAATTAGGATTTGGTGTCACTGCGCAAAACTTACGCATTGCCGCAATAGTAACACCGGAAGCAGTCAATGTGATACGGTGTCCCCCGACATCGCTGCACCATTTCGTTCCCATTTATCGTCAACTCACAGCGCCCACACTCCCCTAAAATGACATGCATTTAATCCATACCTTACTATTTACCTTTAGAACTGAATTCAGCATGGTAATGATCATTGCAGTAGATATTCCCCTTCCGATAATGGTATTTGAGCCTGCCCCGATACTCAAGGTCCTGACCGCAGATGCAGCACCAAAATAACAATGATTTGAATAGAAAATATAATCTACATTGAACTTTATAATCTACAAACCTTCAGACAATATTCATGCCAGCTGCCAGACGGTCCGGTGAGTTTATAGCGATTGTAAATGGGATGAAGACATGTTCGACATTTCTTCAATTCCTTCACCATCACCGTTCTGAGAAATCAGGATTTATCAGCTTATGCAAAGCAGCTGTCGATTCAAATACAAGAACAACGATAATTATAATAAAGATTTTCCGGATTCACCATAAAAGTGATTCATCATATTATACAGCAATTGACCATTAAATACTGATAAACGGGAAAGTTTAGATTCAGGGATTCAACTTTTTTTGGTTATTATTATTATATTATAGGTTTTAATTTAAATTGAAGGGAAATAATCATCTTAAAAATTCAAATTAGATTATAGGTGCACCAGAAAGCCTTTTCGCTTGCTAGCAGCAATTTCAGTAGTGACTACAGAACACTGAGGCCAACTTTAAAGACCATATAGCCCCATCCTAGGGCTTGAAGTGTAGTAAGGCCACGTATGCCCGGCGCGGCAAATGGTGTGCTTTAATTTGGCAAATGCAACTTGTTGTTCCCTTCGAAACACCGTCAATCTAGCCCGAGTGCCCTCCCACTCCCCCATCCACATCCACATGTGCACTGGGGTACCTCGATTCGGCGCGTCGAGGCTTCTCCAAAAATGAATGTTCCTGCCCCCACTCAAATCGCCATCTCGACTACATATCTAGCTGGGCCAAACGACTAGATGGCTACGATTTTATTAGAATGTAAGTTTGAAAATATCGGTACACATTGGGTAACCGAACTACTCAAATTTTCTAAAGCTGTGAATTGTTGGCTAATAGCTAAATTCAAAAATATACTAAGATATTATTCAATTTCTGCCCGAACAATGTCGATTAAAAATTTCATTATATTGGATCTTCGCTCAAAATTATGGATATCAAATAGACGATCGAACGAATGTGGACTTTTCGGCATTTTAGTTAACTTGAAGCTGCCATGCAATAGAGTGTGGTAAATACATGTAGCGCTTTTACAAAAGAAAAACTATTTTAAAATTGTTTTTATTACAACAAAAGTTTTTACCCTTTTGTTATCGGTACCAAAATTTTTACAGAAATGAATTTTACAAACAATTTTATGCGGTGATTCAGATCTAGTACTACCGAAAGCTAAGAAAAAGAAAGCTTTGGAATTGAAATCAACAATTGCAATTTTTACTTAATAATAACACCTCCGCAAAAAACTATTCGGGCCTACAACCATCTCCTGAGGGAATAACTGCAGTGCCGTAATTAGTATCATTTGCACTTATGCATCAACGACAAGCAATAAGAGCTTTCATTCATGAGTAGTTTGCAGATTTACACACGCTCTATTAACTTAGATATACATGTTACAAGACTACAGACTTTTATAAGATTTTACAGACCTTTCGCATACCTACAGTAGCCGCATATGAATCCGAATGCGAAAACTGAATTTATTAAACAAGAATACAAATAATATGGCGGTCTTATGACACTAAATGGAAGGCCGAGGCAATGGAAGCAACATTAAATAACGAAAAGTGCTGGGACGGGGGGATTGGAAAGCGATCTGAAATCAATATGACTGTCACTGAAACGGGGGAGGCAGACTTCTCAAAAAATGAATAAAGATTCGTTTTGAGATCTATAGGCAATAGATATTTGTTGCGTCGGCAGATTCTCAGCCGTGAATTAAATAGCAACCGGTGACTCCATAAAAAGGTGCCGCCAAATGTGGGAAAGCCGAAAGGACCAGGCGAAAAGGGGAGCAACCACGCACCAAATGCCAAAAATATTGACTCATCCGAGGGTAAATCAAATAAGATTTTGGAGAAAATATCTGATTCGAAAAGGCCCGAGGCGGACTAATGAACTTGTTTACGAATGAGCAGATACCATTATTGTAGCCTCTTTCGCCCATTCACTTCAATTGGGAAAACTAATGGGGGCCCAAAGACTTAGCAACGGAAATGTTCAGCAAGCTAATATTACTTACAAGTATACTTTTTTGATTGTTTAAGGAGTTTCGCAATAAGACCAAGCCCGGCTTGTACAGAATTTTTTGCTGATTCTACCATTTGTTTAAACATATGTGAAAAGACCGAATTTAATTAGTTTTGAACGCTTCAAAGGGCGAGAAATAGATCACTATCCGCATTTATCATACTTCAGCGCTGCACATATTTTTATTAAGATACACTAACTTAAGATAGTACGTCTCCTTATTGGTTTCTTTCCGGTATCCATAAATTCAGCTGAAAATGAAAGAAGATATCTGGCCCTATAACTCGTACAAAATCGAGGTATAACCACGGCTGCGGGATGACCAAAAGCGATCGGCGGCTCGTAATTAATTTCTAATTGCACCAGTTTGCCGCTTCTAGTCGGGGGGACACACACGCACACACACGAATACACTGCCCCGGCAATATCGCCCCCCCGGACTTTCGGTGTCTCATTTGGTGGGGGGCAAAGGGAGGAAATTGGTTTTGGTGAATAAGAGACCGGGGTGCAAAAAGGATTTTTCTAATTTTGGCAAATAGGCGGTGGTTGATACAGGGGCACAGGGAGAATTAGGGTAAGATGTGACTCGATGGGTCAGCCATGTTTTTAAGGATTAAAGTGACTAGGAAGGCAGGCGTATTGTTTTATGGAGCCCTAGAATAGGCTATTTTTTCGTATTATGGTTATGAAATGTATAGAAAAAGCAAGAAAATAAGACAACTGCTTTTCTAGTTTATTTAGAAAATACCGTATTTTCTCCAAAAGTAACCTATTGGCTCGATTTTTTTTCAATCAACCCCTTGGCCTAGAATATTATGGGATTCTGAAGAATTTACATAAGAGTATAGAATTTTACACTCTTAGCTATTTGAGAGAAAAATACGGTTTATAAAGGATATAGCTTTTTCACGAGAACACTAGACAAGTATGACTAGATAATAAACCCGGTGGAGCATTAATGAAACAACCATGACCAGAATATCTACTTCTCAGTGTCTAAATAATAAGTATAATAGGGAATTTTGCGGAGCTGCCGCTTCAGCTCCCGGATAAAATCGTATGGCTGAAGTGTAATGGTGAAGCTTTGCCCGGGCCACACTGAGATCAGTCGCTTCTCGAATTCGGCGTCCCGGGAGTAGGGTTGAGCCGCCGGTGGTTCACCTGCAAATCCGATGTATTTGTCGGTGGCTTTTCTCCTGAGGACTGATATATTTTGGCTAATTGGACCGGGGTGGGTAGAGGGGAAGGCGAGGTATAGAAAATATGTTGAGTGGGGGGGGCAACCGGCTCAAAGGCTCACCTCAGTAATGACGGCAGGTGTATCTTTGCCTGCATCAAAATATGCGGGAAGGGTCGCTGGGACGCCACGCATGTATGCAGGGCTGTCGGGGCTGATTTTCGCGATTCTATTCTAAAAAGGAGTTGATCCCGAGGTAGAGCATCTGATTTTATTGTGGTTCTTATATCAGAAGTAGACAGGTGATTTTTGGTACTCCGTTTTCTATTTATATTTCTTCGCTAATATGGCTGGTTAGTGGTTGGCTAATAGTTAGGGAAAACTGTAAGATATAAAAACTATAATTTTCTGAAACTGTACCTTTTGTTTATGCAATTCAATCCCAAGCGACTTATTCTCTTGGATAGGCTTCGTCAACTGGAAAGTGACGGCATTTGGCATCGGCCGGATTTGCAACATCAAAGGATGGCCTGGTTTTGATCTATATTCGATTAAGAAATTTTTTAGGAAACAAACTCTCTATGGTAGAGACTGTGCAAGCCTTCCAGATCGCCAACAGGACATTTCCCGACTTTCACAAGCTCATCCCCCGACCCGGAAGATACAGGAAACTTGATTGTCGACTTTTCGAGACCAGCCAGCGACCCTGGGAAGGCATAACTATCATCGAGAAAACACCAGACAAACCATAGCCTTCTTCCCACATCGACAATAATCACATTTTCGATCATCATAGTTAATGAAATCGAAATGTCGCGAAGTTGCTTGAGGGAAGGCAACGTGTGCATAGACGAACGGCGGGGCTTTTCGTATCCTGCATCAGGAATATTCTTTGGTATATTAAAGCCTACCATTTTCAACGTATGGCGCCAAAAATGAAATTGAAACTCGTCGAGGTTCCTTGAGATCCGCCGACCCACGAGAATCCGTACTGCTACTGCTGAAGGTTAGCAGTCCTGCCAAACCTGCGACCAAGAACATACGCGATACTAGTGGTGCTCAACGCAGATGAGAGCCGCTTCTCACAGCTTGGAGATAAAGCAGCAAGATGACGAGGAATATCATAGGCTCTCGGCACTCCATAGGCTCCGGTCTGAATCATTTTCAGTTATATGGTGGGTGCCCAAAAAATGGCTGGTGCCTCCGGCCGGGGAATCTCGAAAGATCGGGAACTGAGCTGGCCAGAGGCCACCCCGACCCAAAGCGTCTCAAAAACAGAAAAAGCGTTCTGCCATAAAATCGTTTTTCACGCATCCACAATTCGTTCACTCGACCGAATCACGAAGGGAATGGGGTGGATTGGATGGGTGGATGGATGGAATGGAAAAGCACACAACAAAAGGGCATCGGAACAGTGCTCTCTATCAGAATAACATTGATAAAATATTATGATTTCTGGGATATTATTTGTTTGCTATGACGCGAGCTATTGTTCCTGTTGTATTACGACAGAGTGGTATACCCTAAGCCCGCGTTTTTGGAAGAGAATACTAGCATAACTAGCAGCTGTCAGCACAACGTGTGCTTCGGGAATTGAAAAGCCCTAAAAATTTTTGGAAATCGAAAATATTAAATGAACTAGTGAATTATCCGCTTACCGCGCTTGCCGCTTGATCTTGACTCGGCGGCGGAATAGCAATATCCAGGGGAGAAGCCGTTTCTTTTTCGTTAAATACAAAATCCTTCTTCGGGGTCGGTCGTGGAAATGGAGTAGGCGGAGCGAAGGTCTCTAGAATCAAAAACCTCTCTAAAAATGCGGTATATACCTGGTACTTCCTCCTGCTCACTTGGGCTCTCACAGCCGGAAATCTCGAATTCGGGACTGGTGACGGCTAGTGGTGCCTTGTTGTGACCATCTAAAAATAGTTTGTAACATATGGGAAGTTGAGAATCTTACTGCTCGTCGTCGCGTAAAGTGCGGAATTTTCCATGGAGGCTTTTCTGGCGGCGTCACGAGTAGCAATCGCTTCTGGGAAGGACATTATGAGAGTGTAGAAATACATACCTATCATTGCCGGACACAATTCCTCATCTATATCGTTTTCTAGCATGGAATAATCTTTTTCGACAGCAACTTCCTTCCACCAAGGCTTTCTGAGTAATTTAGAGTTTTGTGAACATTTTCTGAAGTTAACTTACAGGTTAAATTGGTAGAACGGTGATCGCTTGGCTCCCAGATAAACACCAAGACCTTCGAGCCCTTTTTCAATAGCTTCCACCCATTCGTCACGCAGCCGACTAAATGAGAAAAAATTCAAGCAATATATGGTGTGGGGGAAGCGAGGAAAAATTGCCCCACAAACCCAAGGGGCCCATCTCAGGTGTTTTTGTGGCAAAGCCCCGCTAAAAGCCCTGACCACCCTAGACAGGGCTCAATATCCCTAGAAACCCCCCGCGTTTGCCCCATCGCTTCACACTTTTTAGAATACACGATAAAGCGAGAATCGATGGGGTGGGGGTTCTCAAAAGCTCTTCGTTTTTGGGGTAGGGCATTGATGGGTGGGCGGAAAAGAGACGCACAACGGCCAATTGGGACCATAAACGGAATCCGGAGAGGAAGGAATGGAAAGGGACCCCTCTGGACACCCTCAAACTCAGTCCCAACCACAACCGACCCCCAACCCTAAATACACAGGACAACCTGAACTACTTTGTGACGAACCCGACGATCCCCGGTGTGGCCCACTAAATCAGTGCCCCTCTTGCTCCACCCTCCCGAGACGAATGGGACCACTTGCCGGAAATTGAGTTTCTTAGAAAAGTGGGATGAGTTCGAATCCAATTACAGTCGCAAACGTTTTTTACGAAGAAGTGCAATGGGATGGACAACAAAATTCTAGGGCGAGTTCGTGCCAAAATGGAAGGAAGGTTCTCGGCGAGATCGCGAATATGTTTACATTGGAATACATATTGGGTGAGACCCCGGAAGTTGTGAAGCGCCGCATTTCGGAGGGGAAATTGGAGAAATTTCGTTAGCCTTAATGCACTTTTGTTTCAGTAGAGAGAAGGCCGGGCTAATAAAAAAATTTTGTCTTTAAATAGAATTTAACCAAATTTTGAAATAACATACACATTTGGAGCTGTCCAGTGTACTACATCACTTTCATCCTTCGGATTGTCGGTATTTATCAAAACGAAAGTGTTCTCGTCTTTCATATCCACTTGAACTTTGTAGATGGTTCTATCCAGAAGTGGTTGCAACTAAAATTAGTCATGAGTGTTGATTTCCGCTATGTTTCATCAAAATAACAGGCCGCGACACATCAAATCAGTTGTTTACGAATTTGTAATGTGAATGTAGCAGCGACTAACCCTGCCTTGATGAGTCAGACAGTCCTCGTTGTTCTTATACCATTCCAAATACAGGGTTTCTCGATGCAGACATAAATGACATTGAATTGGATCTTCATAAATGACTTTCTAAAAAAAATACAGTTTCAATAATTAAATTCCGGGCCTACCTCTTTCTTGAAAAATAGCCCAACCATAGAAGTGGTCTTCTTTTTCAAAGTTCCGCATTTTAAGACACGATATCCACGTTTTGAGAGCATCCTAGGAGGGTTTGAGGTGACAAGTCTACACTCCGTACTGCTGCAGAAATGAAGGGGAGGCGACGATATCCGTGGAGACGTTGTTAATAAGATGGTCGCCGCATGTGTGCGTCCCGATCAAGGAGCCGGCACCATTTATTCTGGAATATCGTAAATTTTAGTGGGTTTTAGCCCCTTGTTCATGAATAAGAAATAATAGAGCGGCTTGCTAAGGGTTTGTATATTGGATTGTAGGAAAATATTAGAATCGGATTTTGGATTTTAGCAAAAATAACGAGATTTCTTGGCTTGGATGAGCCGGCAAAGAACGCTGAAAACCTTTGAAAAGGAAGGTATAAAGTTGCAAATATCTTCATTTACTCAATTAAAATCAAACAAACTGTATCGTTGCTCCAGAATTACTACGGCAATTTTAAAAACAGCGCAAATGCTGAAAAAATGACTCTGGATTTTGTTACTCAGGCGGAATCAACATAAAACGCGAAAATTATCGAAAAGGTTTCTAAAATCAAGGCATAAAGCTTGGAATTTGGAGCTTATCGTTACAGGAGAATCACACCAAGTTTAGCAATGGAAAAATACGCCAGAACCACTATGGAACTTCCAACCCGCACGCTAAAAATGCCGCAAAACTATGCCAAATTTCTGACGCAGGTGGTTTCAGCAAATAAAACAACAACGACAGCATCTCCCATTGTGGCGGTAAAGCAGACCGACTGGCGAGACAAGAAACGGACGGTTGGGGAGGGGGAAGAAACTGGAAAAAGGAGCGACCGGGGGCAAAAGCACCGTTCTGACTCATCGTCACTCATCACCCCTCCACCATCCTAGAACAAATATTGGCCATGAAGATCACCGGCTTTTGCCATCCCGACCCTCATAACCACCGTGGTCAACAGAAAACAAAACGCGGATTCTGCAATCTAAAGGAAAATGCCCGATTTCTAAGTTTAGATATTTTTTAATCAAAAAAAGTGCATGTGGATATTCTATAAAAACTGGAGGAATTGCAGATACACTAGCGTTTATGCAAGATCAACCGTTCATGACCTTGGCGTAATCGGATCGGGATTTTTCTCGACCGTGACTCAACCAGGTTGGCCGAATTTCGGTGGGCACTTGACTCGTATCATGTAGTTGAATGACACCTGGAATTTGAAATCCGGAAATATCACGGGGTAAAAACTATGGTAGTGTTGATACAGAGGCGTTGGTGATTTAAATCTGGAAATTTTGCATAGATCTGTCGATTTTCTCTATGCTTCTTTGCGAAAAAATGTTTCTGATATGATTTACATGAAAAAATGATAATTTGAATATGCGGAAAAGCGGAAAGTGGTCAGTGGAAAGCTTAAAGGGCTGCCGACGGCATGTGTCGATCCCCCCATCAACAAATTGGCAAGTAGCCGACAGGGCAGAGAGTGCGCGCAGGGGCTAGGCGCAGAGACATTTTATTACCGATTGACTATGCCGTCGACGTCCCTTTAATCATGTCCACAGTTTTGTAAGTCGCTTTGATTTAAATCGGTATTTTCAGTGCCATTAAATAAATATTTCTACTAAATAAAGATCCCCAAATTATTTTTTTAATGCAAGATTTTCGTTATCACCAACAGATCAAACTTCCCCCAAAATAAATCAAAAATCAACCATTTCCACGGTACCACCTTGCCACTTTGATTACCATAAGTGAAAGGCGCGGGGGCAGGCATGCAAATTGTGTGTTCCATGAGCCCCACCCACTGACCCGATTCGGTCTGCCGGCCAAGCGTTCGGTTAAGGGCGGCTCGCTTCATTCGACCCCGGCTTTCCCCGCTATTCAACCTGCTCGCTTTTCAAGCTGCTTTCTCCCAATTCAGGGCAGCTTTTGACCCTGGGGGGTTTGAACTTGAGGGTCGCGTTTCTGGTAGATTTGTTACGTTGAATCGGTGTCCGTATGGGTTCAGCTTTGCGATTTCTTTTATTAAAGTTGGCGCTATTAAGCATTCTTTATTGTTTAAACAGTTAATGCGTAACAACTACAGGTCCTTTAAAAATAATTACCGTATCTCTTATCTATATCTCATCTATCTCTTCTTAGACAACCACCGCCAGACGAATGAAAAAACCGCTCCGGAGATTTTAGTCAATAAATAACTGAAAATCCATACATGCGAAGAGTAATTTTTTAGACTCGGTGATGTGATGCTAGTTGCGTCTAAACTTTTACAGTGCTAAAATGCTGCAATGGCTCAAAATATAGACTTAGCCTTACTTACCTGACGACACTTTACCTTGAAATCTCTAGATGCTGGTCACGCCAAAATGTTGCCCCTCCCCTTCACCCAAAGAAATAAAATCCCCATCCGAAATAATTGGAACCAAAACCGAGACTATGTTAGTGTAAGTAAGGCACATATTGATAGTCCTGACCTTCTAGCTGCAACCCAAAAATTTTCCCGTTTAGCTCGATCTACCCAGTAAAACTCGCTTTTTGCCCCGGCAGGCAACTAACGACCCACCACCGATTTTTTGTTTTCCAAGCCATCCCCCACTGTTTGGCGGTGGGCTCGGATTTTTGGGAAAAATGGCGCTCCGATCGGAGCAGAACCGGTAGAGAATTCAGGGGGCTTTCGGATAGCCTCCGGCCCTCCCCGCATACACCTCACCCAAAACGCTGGCCGAACACAGTGTGCCATTCATCGACAGACACAGCCATCCCTCCACCACCACCCATCATCCTCTCGATGCCACTAGAAGCCCAGATTTGTCGCTTAGTCATGCGGCGTTTCTTGAGAAAACTGGCAGTGTTGGAATCCTCCTTCTTGGTGAATTTGTATTTCGAATTTTCTGATGCATATCTCTGAATTTAGACTTTAAAGGGTATTTTGAGAAACTGGCAATGCTGAAAATTGTCCCTTGTGTCAAAGAGCGTATTTCCCATGCGTATCCATTAACTTAAATTTTGACGATTTGTTTGCAATTTCCGTTGTAAGAATCGTCCCTTAAATACCTAAGAATGTAGTTTACTATTGTTTTCATTTATATCTGTTTGGTTATACTTTAATGATTATCATTACCTTTATGAAGATCGAGGTTTCCATTTAAATTCTCCTCTCTCTCTCTCACTCTCTCTCTCTCTCTCTCTCTCTCTTTATCTCCCCCTGCTTCTGTGTCGCTTTCTCGCATTTCGAACAGCGTCATTTACATATCTTGAAAACCCTATTTTTTCAGCGACCGGTCAACCAACAACATATGTAAGTAAGCATCCCTTCTAAAAATATTATGCGAAATCTGGTTCCGATACTTCTCTGCTTATTTGGAGGTAAGTCCCCTTTCAGTATTACCAGACTGCCAGCTGGACAGGAAACCATGCCATTGCCTCGGCTGGCAGCTGGCCGAAATTGCCGCCTTAACCCTTCAACTTTTTTCCAGCGCTCCTGGCTGGGTGACTGGCGATTCTATTCTGCGCCCAAATGCGATAATACCATGGTCGAAATATTATCAGCGGTTAAAGTTGGTCCGTAAAGTAGTAGAAAAGTGTTTTTAAGTACAAAGCCCGATTTGGCATCTATTAACTTGCCGATATCGGGGAAATGTACGAAGAGCTCCGGCGAGGATAACAACTCTGAAGAAGTCATGTTGCAACAAGCTGCGTTGGCCGAAGTGTAAGTTTATTAGTTTAAACTTAGTTTTGCTAAAATACCGAAAAGTGGCATTTCCCTATTTAGCTACACCTTTTTAGCGAAGCAATGGAAGTCGAAAAAAGCCTCCGAAATCTCCAACCCCCAAAACAACCGGCACCCCCAAAATACAGCTACTCTATACGACCTCAATCGCGCAAGAAACTGGTCTCCGAACCGGCCGACTTCCAAAAACTCGGCATGGCAATCGCAAAGAACATGGAACAGGGAAGGCGGTAGGTCAACACCCCCACCCTAAAATGTCATAAAATTTTAGCCTCCCACCTGATTACCATCCGCCGCTATACCCCGAACAGTATCCTTATATGAAATTGAATAATCTGCAACGCAAACAACCACCACGCGGAGATGCTGTGAAATCTGTACTTTCAACCCTTTAACCCTGAAATTGAAATTAATTAGATTGCGCGATACCATTCGGAGTCCGAAGTCAAAACTCGATTGGTGCCGAAAACGGCTTATGAAAAGCAGGTTGAGGCTTATGCTGCGAAATTACCTAGCATTGAATATGGAAAAATACGGCCGCAAAAGGGGATGGATCGATTGGGGCACTCGCAAGTGATGCCGAATTCGGATGGTAAATCATTTAGCATATCTATGGAATTTGAATTTAGGAGCATTGTCGCTATCACCAGAAATGATCGCCAGGTTTTCTAATCAGTTACCGCATGGGGTGTTACGGTAAGTTAGGGATTGTCTCGATTATCATTTGGTCATTTGCATGTCATTACGACAATTAATCCCGGTCAACGTCCTCACTTTTTAGAAATGGCGTCTCGGATGGAGTCGGTCTCCAGCAACTCCCGGCCCGTCAACAAGGTGTCGCGAATTTTGCTGAAACTTCAAACGCAGTTGGTGTGGCCGAACAACTCGGAGAGTTTTCAAAGGTAATCTCTACCTTAACTTGATCGAACTACCATCCAGGTTCTCCCACATTTCACTCGGATCGCTCCAGCATCGCAAGTTGATCTGGGAACGAATTCCATCTTAAACCCGTTTGGAGGAGCTACTGGAGATATGCCACCCCTACTTGGTCAGATTCCTGGGATCCATCAAGTAATATTGTCCTTATTTCAATTATTGAATCCCAGGTCCCACCACAAACAAATGGGCCCAATCCATTCGAAGCTTTATTATCAAATGGAAATACAATTGAACAATTGGGAAAACTGGCGAAAAGCTTGTTGATGAGCGAGGATGGTGGGCAAGTAGCTTTACACAGCACACTACAAATAATAATTCACTTCGTCTAGAATAACCTACTTGCTGCTGGGCTGAAAGCTTTACAACGGCAAGGTGCAGGAGGGTTGGAAGGAGATCTATTAGGAGCTGCCAAGGTATACAACTTTCTACGCAGAATAATCTTTTAAAGACCGAGACACGAGCAGCCCCAACGATGATGGAACGGCTAATGGCTTCGGCGGCTCAGGCGATAAATGAGAGTAAAAACAGCAAAAAAGAACTGCGTAAGTCGTGGTGCAATCTTTTGCAATAATTTCCTTCAGCCAATTTGTTTCCTGTAATAAATATCACGACAACAGAGAAGCCAGTGGATGCGGATATTGAGAAATCCGTCGCCTTGCTCAAGCAAGTCCCTGAAGAACAGAAGAAAATCCTTGAAGCTGCTATTCGATCAGGGGAGCTTGATTATTCCAGTGTCGAAGCCGCCATTAGGTAATATTTAATATCAACTTTCGTTTCCTAATGCTTTCTTTTTCATCCTGATCTCAAAAGTTTCCATTGCACACCGTTTCCTGTCAAAACCATTTCCTTGGAAAAAGTAGGGCGCCGCAAGGCAAACAGCACACAGTTTTATGCAAACACCACCGTTTGAGGCTCATTTTTCTGGAGGAGCGCGAGGGGGGGGGTACAGAAATGGAAAAGAGCTCTCAATCTTAGGTCACTCGTCCGCGAGGATTCGGCTTCCCAATCGAAAACGGAGAAGACAACGAGATTGATGGAATGGATCCAGAAGAATAGGCCCGCCAAGACTGAGCTCGTGCTCACGTCGGACCGTTTGCCCTATTATGGGAAATACTGTGGAACGTTTGCGGAACAGGTGTGGATTGGGAAATGGAAACTTGAGATGCGAGATTAACATCTGCTAGAGAGTTACAAATAAAACAACCTGTATCCGGAAAAGATATTGATTTGGATGCAAACTCCAAACTTCAGGGAAAAGGTCCTTCCGCGTAGAAAAATTAGGGCCACTTCGATTTGCATCCTAATTTACCTTTTTTCGGGATATCAGGTTATCTTAGTAGTTTACAGAATTTTCGTTTTATAAAACTATTTTTTAGCTGTCTCCAAACCGTAAATACAAACCCGGTGGCGCTGTCTGGGCTGTTGACAATCAACATATAATTGTCTCAAAATTCATCTTCCAACCCGAATCCCTATCAGGTTTTCGCAAATCCGCAAAAAAAGCCAACGGCCGATTCAGAAAACATCACCTTCTGGGCCGGTCCTGGCGACAAAGGAAGCGATCCAGTGGCGGATATGTTCCCATCGGCCAATGGCTTCTATTTAAAACCAGTTCCCATTGATGTGGCTGTCTTTGCCGTGGAGAGGCTCAGGTGCCAACCCGTCCCAAAAGCCTCAACCTTTTATATTTTAGCCTATTGAAGCGAAGATTCGGCAAAAGGTTAACGCTAGCTCTACAGTATTTGGGGCCACGCCGGTAATGCCGATTGGGAGGAAGAAGCGTGAAAGTAAGAGAAATTGCTTAATTTTTACTATCCTTAGCAATCACCATCGACTCCCGACCTACTGGCATTACAAATAAGACTGGACAACCGGTGCATCTAATTGTTCAGGTTTGTCGAAGATTCTTTTATTAGATAACTGCCACCTAGGGAGCGGTGATACAAGTTGAAAACCCAGATGATAAGAACCAACAAATCCTGGCAAATACAACCGAACTAATGTCGATCAACCCGACGAGTAGCAGTGTATTTTCGGCACCATTTCATATTCAACAACCAGATGAAGATCCGGTGCCAAATCCTATGGTTTGACAGCTTCCAAATTTCTTAATATGCTATCTTAGTACCCGGTGGCTCTTGAATGGCATGCAGGTTTTCAACCACTACTCCTAACCCTCCCGGCCCACAAGTCTATGAAGACTACGCATTGGATATCGCTTTGGGACCATAAGAATCAGGTATTTCTAGATACCAGCTCCAGCTCCTCAATTTCATTTTAGAAATCGATTTCATCAGTCGTATTCCCGAATGGTCCGGCATTTCAAGTGCCCGAGGTCATCACGTTGCGCTCCCTATTTCCAAATGCAGGGCTCCTTGCCAATGTGACATCTGGGCCAATTAGGGTACAGCAAAACCAAATACGCTTTATAAAAGTTTAGCTAATTGACGCGAAAACGATTGAAATCGATGAGCTACGAATTCCGGCCATTGATGCACCTATATGGTTTGTCGTCGGAAAGGATGTGTTCCCAAGCGCTAATGGACATATTGTACCGATCTACAACAAGTTTGACATTTTTATATTTTATTTATACTTGTAAACTAGGCGAACAAATACCTTCGACTGTGATAGCTTACAAGAATATACTGGCCAAACTGTAACCTTAAAATTACCCGGAACAATGTATATGAAGGTGGGTAACTTACCGAAATAATAACAACTTTTCCAAATTCAGGACGTTTTCTGGTTTTCAATATTTTCGCTGACCACTGGTGTTTCCTACTCCCACATTTATTTGCCATACAACGACATGCATTTACCTCCTGATCTATCGGCTATTCCGGTAAATCGACGGTTCAATTTCAATTGACAATACAAAATTTAGACTCCTCGCTGCACTTGGAAAGACTGAATAAGTTTTCAATTTTTTGATCTGGTTGCTGCAATAATCACAAACTTTCGAAAACATACTGGTCTACAACGCTTTTCTGGATACATACTGTGCTTTCGAATAACTGCTTAAATTTTGTGACAATTTGTGATGGTTCTATTATAAGCAAATAAAAAGAGAAACCTCAAAATTCCTCCTATTTCGACATGCTCACTTCTGATCAGTTAGACCTTGAGCAAGAAAAAATTGAATATCTGTTCTTCGATGCGGGTTCCATAACGGAAAAGGGATAGCGAGATTGCTTTTCAGCTCAGGTATAAAAATGAACGAAATCCAAAAACATTTCCAAAGATGCGGCTCACTTTCTTGAACCTCTGCTTATTCACATGGGTTTGTTTAATATTGTAGCAGCTGTGATTTTTATAGGTTTATCAAACGTCGGCACAACCGCCAGCAGGCAATCCACATGCGTTTCCTCGTTCCTGTAAAATGAATATATTGTTGATTATGGATCAGTCCTCTTCGACAAAAGTAACTTGCGTAAAAGAAAGTATGTCGTAATAAATCAGGGAGGATTTGATGCTGCTCGCGATTTTATTGTCAAGGTGGCGCCTTCAGCCATGATTGGACCTGATCAGCATCGGGTGAATCCTTCATTCCTTAGTTTTTTTTAAATATGAATGTAGATTGCCCTTATCATTTTCTCTGGCCGCACTATAACCCTACCCTGGAATTTCGCCAAATCCAATGAAGAGTTGATTACACGTTTGAAGACCGTTAGGAATAATGGTGGTATTACGAGGATCGGAAAGGTAAAACTTTTTATTCTAGATAAACCTAGCCAATTTCGTTGTAGGCACTTGAACAGGCGATCACAATGATGGAGAAGAGAGATACAAAATTGCCGACTTTCATCCTAATGGTGACAGATGGTAGAAGCAGTGATGAAGTAAAAGGTCATGCCGCCAAGCTGAGGTAATATACCTAACACAAATTCAATTTTTAGGTCTTTCCCGAAAACTTGGCTTTTTGCAACATCTACTAATCGACCAGATATGTAAGAAATTTGGATATTCCCGGAACAAACAAATTAGGAAGGGTTTACTCGACATTGTCGGGCATGAGGACTTTATCATCGAGTCCGGGAGTCGTGAATCTGCCTTGCGAAGCGCGAAAACATCTTGGAAGACATCAAACGACAATGTGTCACGACGACGACGAGCACAACAACAACTACGACCACCACTACGACAACGACAAACCCATTTACAGGTATTATTCCCGAAAAATTTATCAATTTGATGCTAGGATGCGAGCTGGACTTGGTACTGGTCGTTGATCTCTCTGCTACAACCCTAGCGATCTATGACTTTTACAAGGAACAAGCGAAGGCTTTAGTCGATAAGTTGTACATAAGTCCTCGACATACGAGAGGTATCTATTGGATGATACCAGACGTAATATTCCATTCTTTGCCAGTGGCTGCTGTCTCGTTTGCCTCGGTGGGGAAGACGCAGACCGAGTTCAGCTTGCGGCGCTACGACACAGGAGATGGGATAATGGAAGGGTTGGAGGCGATGAAGAATACGGGGGAACAACGGCTATCGGTTTTTTAGGGCTTTGCGGTTTAGATGGCTTTTAGGGGAAGGGATTATGATGGCGATGAATCAATCGGTGGAACGGGAGGGGGCAAGGCCGGAATTTGCGACAAAGGTGAAATATTTGCATTGAAATCCCTATCTCATTTGAGACTTTAAAGTATTTTGATCGTGAATTTAGGCAATGGTAGTTTTTACTGATGGTTGGAACAATAAAGGTCCTGATCCTCTAGAAGCCGCCAAACAAGCGAAAGACGCAGGGTATAAGAATTTTTCAAAATCACTATGCTTTAGCTGGGAAATGTATGTTGTAGTGAAAAGGGAAGTCGTAGAGCATGAATCACCGGAGCCACTCGACGAAATAATACAGCAGATAGGTAAATGAGCTTCCCTGTCTATCCGCCATCTCCACCCACCCTTTAGCCGACGATGAGGCGCATATTTTTGATGAGTCTAGCATCTCCAAAATGTTTGACCAAATCTCGAAAAGGAGTGAACCATGCAGGTGGGTCTCTAAAGACAACACCTGAATTTCCCCCTTCTAGAAAATCCAAAGATGGTGTTGCGCCAAATGCTAAAGCCCTATTCGCCGCAATCCAGAAAAATGGCAACACCAAGCAGCCGGCAAATAACAAGAAAAAGCCGCCGCCCCCGAAACGCCGAGGATAATTTTATGAGAATAAACTGTTTACTTGAAAATGAACATGACTATTGTCGCGCCTCCTTCCAAAGTCGCAATTCTTGCACACGCCCCCCCCCCCATTTCTTTGGAACGCCCTTCTCCTTGAATAAAGTATTCACTGAGCTGAAATCATCATTTCGCATGCATTTGTTTCCTTACTGCACGAGTTTTTTTACGCAAAGCGCCTTTCGAAGATGCAGCACTTGTGGGTTGATTGGATTCTAGGGTTGAGGGGTTATTGAAGGGGGTCCACGTCAAATAACTTTGGTCTGGGAGGGGTTGGGCTTTCAAGAATCAGATGGAATCGAAGCGACCCTTTGCGGGGTCTGGCTTTACATTTTTTCAAGCCTGGATTCTCCACAAGAATTCAGCAGATTTTCGAATCCCCAATTCCCACATCTTCACCCCTCTAGACCGCGATAAAACCGCATTTGCAGACGCTTCCCCGGCACCAACCCCGAAAAACATTCATTTCGCCGGGTTCCTTAACTTTTTGCCCACACCGAAATGTCGGCTGAGTTCACATAAATTAAAGCGAGCCTTTGGCCCTAGGTTGTTGAGTAGCAGTCTTTTTAATGGCCCTGACGCGCTGTGAGAAGCGCTGTCACTCTTGCATCTGTCTACTTACATACTCCCAGCCGTACCCCAGCCAAGGGGGCAATTACTCGAAAACAAAACTTCAGCATCCACCACCGTGTCACATGTCTTTCCACATATGTACACACAACGTTATTAGGGGCTGGCTACCAATCGAGGATGGATATTAGAGATGTGACTTTTGGATGGGAGTATTTGGCCTTACTAGCCTATGCCGCTTTTCAATTTTCGCAGGGGGGCCCCCTATGTGTTGATGTTGGTGTTTCGAGTCCATTTGGTTGAGTGCATGCTAATTGGTTAGGGGGCCAAAAATAGTAGTTTACGTGAGCTCGAGGTAGAAACATCAGAAGAGTTGGTGTACTTTTGAAATAAGGTAATTAGCTTATCTCTTCCTTCTTAACATCTTGCTGCAAAATTTTTTGAGGTGATGCGAATTACGGGAATAAAGGTTTGAAGTTCCGAAGCATTCTACAAGAAAAAGAAGTCGAAAGCATCATGTTAAGTGCTAATAACTACGCTTAATGCTAATTAACTTTTCGGGTGGCTTCAAAATATACTTCCAGAATTTTTTGGAGCTTTATGGAGATGCAGGAATTGTCCGCAACCCAGCATATCCCTAAGTAACTTTCCGCTCTGGTTTTCAGAAGCTTGGAACCGATCGCCTGTTTTCCAAAAATTTGAACCGAACCCGACCTTAGAAAGCATATTTTTAGCGCTCAGCCAAACCCGAAATGTGCCCCGTCGGCCGGTGAGGACGTTTGAGGGGAAATTCGTTTTGGGTTTCGCTTCAAAAGGGCCCTCCTTTGGGTGAAAAGCATACTGAAGAGAGGGGAGCTCCCCCCTGTGGGGATCGTCAAGGATCACGCTGTAAGAGAAATAAGCAAAAGCTACGTTCAAAGACAATTACACGACCAAAGAGATGGGGAGGGGCACTCATCCTTGAAAACAGTTGCCCTCTGTTGGAAATAAGGGCTGGGGGGGGGCTTTTGTTCTTTGCTAGCCATAGGGGTTTTTTCGTCACACCGCCCGTCCTTGTCTATTTGGCTCTTTATCGGTCCATGATTTAGTGGCTGTTATCGATAGGGGGAGATCTCAAAACCAGCATTTCTTTTGACGTAGACAAAAAAGCTTGACGGCAGGGTTTGCGAGTTCAGAAAAAGGAAATATATCTTTTCACTACCGTATTCAAAGTATGCTTTCTGTAGCGTTCCCCTAGGAATTTGCATTTATTTTAAAACACCGATCCTCTTTCCGCAACCCTAAAAGTTGATGATACTAAACCTTCACACCCCATCCATTACAACACATTCTTGCAAAAATGGCTTACCCCCCTTGAAATTCCACTCGTCTTCAATTTCACCCTTTTTTCAAGCCGCCCTCTTGCTCCCTTGCTCCTGCCTCGCCACCACCCACCGAGACCAATTTTTTTCAAGAACGCTTGAGGAGGCTAAAGCACTTGGGCAGCAGCCCGTTTTTCGATGAATAAATATAAATTAATCATTGGCTTCTCAAGAGACGTAGCGCTTGTTTGCCGAGGTTCTTTCCTTTCATCCAAAATCGGGTAGCAAGCATTACGCCCAAACCGGGGTGTTTCTATTCCTGTTTCTTTTTCGGGTGTGGTTGTTGGTGTGCAACACGGTTCCTGGATTTTTAGGTTTTGAAAAGTATACGGGATTTGGATTTGGAGATAGCTGTTGTGGATCAGGTAATTTGCCATTTATTCGAGATATCTTTTTTTTCTAGATTCCGAAATGTTTTCGGAAGCGTCATCATCAAAGATGGTGCTTGTCAGGTGAGCAACGTCTTTAAAATAGCTTCAAGCTAATTAAATTAGCAGTGTTTCTTGTAGTATCGGGTTGTGCAGAAATTCTCGTGGTTTTACTTTTTGGGCTTTCAAGACAGGCTTCCATGCCAGAATCTGCTTCGTCTTGCAGACCCCTCTAAACGAAGAAACTCAGGGGTTTCTAACAATTTGTGGGGTAGTAAAAATAATGATGGCTTGTATCGTTATTGTATTTATTTTGAAACCGATGAGAGGCTCCTCCCGCTGCTATCAAAACCTGACCCTCGACCCGTTTTTCGAAACTTCGAACTGCCCGAACTCGTCTGCGCGTGATTCCATAAAAAAGCGGAAGTGCTATGAAATAGGACGAACTCTAGGACATTCAAAAAAGGGGACGAGACAGAATACGTCGACATCTCTAGATTCATGCGAGGGAGATGCTCAAAAAGGAAGGGCATTGCTGGGGTGGGTTGGCTCTCCGGGGAGGTCCCTCCATTCCCGATCCCCGCAGCTTCTCGTCGTTTGTTGGAGGCAAAAGGAAGGATGGGTGTGTGATGGAGGAAACTCTTTGTTATTCATAATTGCGGCTTGCGGTCTGGCCGTGGCAGTCCAATGTCCCGGCCGCCAGGAATCCCAAAATTCTGTGCCCCCCGCTCCAACCCTACCACCCTTAAAAAAAGTTCCTGGAAATGAGTCGCCAAATTGGACGGGTGTCCCCACAACCACCCTTCTCCTATCTTCCCCTACTGCCAACCTCCACTCGATTTTTTTGAACAGGCACCCTATTTTATTTTTGGAGAGCCACCCGACACAAATTGGACAAAGTCTAGTTAGCCTCCAGCGTCGCGTTCCGGGAATTTGGTTTCTAAAAGAGCCTTCAACTTATTTCTGCCGACTGACCGCTTCTTCCGGCTTTTCTTCCTTCCCTTCAGTGCTTAACCAAATCCAGAATCTTTTTTCGGCGTTTTTTGACATTGTTTATAGAAGCCGTGGGAGTCCGAGGATTAGCAAGTCGAAAAACAATTGCTTTTGCTATACTTTGGTGTTGGAAGGGCTGATGGCGGAACAATTTAAGAGAAGCGCTAAATTGATATTGGCATCGAAGAAAATGTTTGGGAATTTGTAAGTTTTATCAGAGAATCACTGAATTCGCCTCACGTTCTGAAAAAGTTCTGCAAATCTAAATTTTGAAAGGGCACCCTTGAAGTGGGTCCCCTTCCCTCCGCATCGACTTTTGATCTGTCTGGGAATCAAATTTCAATCCTTTCTTTCCGACAATTATGCGGGCGGCCTGTGCTGGCTCGACCCCAACTCGGCAACTAATTTCCTTCAGCCCTTCCCTTTCCAACATCACTACCAACAATCCAGCTTTTAATTTTTTTAAACCAAACCGGCCCCTAATTTTTTCCATCAAAAGTGAAGTGCCGCCATCAGGCCTTTTCCCCTTGATGCGGGCTTCTCTCCCCTTCACATGCTCCGCCCTCCTTGATTCAATTGATATGTTTTTAAAGGGAGGCTTCTTCTTTGGCGTTGCCCTCGAGCTTCTCCCGGACCCAAGAGTCAGTCAGTAAGCCGAATTTGAACATCCGCGAAAATTGAATTCCCAGATCCCGAGCCCCCGAGTGGGCCCTTCTTTTGGCGACCTTTGATTCTGGAGGCCCGCCTCCCTCTGAATATTATCATTTCTCCTCCACTCCAAAAGTAGCCGTTTTTGGCCCCCTGGTCCTGGGAGCAGAAATTTCTCGGGTTTTGGATCAACTTTTTATTGCTTCGCTTTTCGGGGGCTATTTCCTTGTCCGCCAGACTAGAGCCTTTCCCTCCCCACTACCAGATAAAATTTTATGGGTTTGTATATGCTAGATCTTCATAAGCTGTCCCCAAGGACATCTAACGTCTCGTACTCAAGACTATGTACTTATTGTTAGCTCAGACTTCATAAATATTCGGAATATAGACTTTATTTCTTGTTTTGACGCGCCGACTCCAGCATCTAGCGCCGGAATTTTATGGTCACTACTAGCAAGAAAGATTGTCCAATCGAAGGAAACAATTATTGCTTTCCATTATCCTGGCCCCTACCGAACAATGGCCCTCATAAATACCTATTTTGGGGGATAGAGAAAGAAGTGAGGCAGCCGAATGGAATGACAGGTTATTAGATTCCAGTTCCCCCTTTCTTTCCACCAATTCTCGTTCGGAAAAGGGCAAAACTCACTCAGCCCTCCAACCACTTTAATTTTTCAAATAAAGATTCTTGTCATATTATCGTAAGAAATTAAGGAAATCCTTTATCCCACGCTCTACCCGAGAGCTAACTAATAAAGTACAATTTGGACGGCTTCTTCACGCGATATAGGGCAACACTTTTCGCTGTGGGAACCAGGTGGAAATACCCACCCCCTAGGGCTTTTAAATTGATTCCTGAGCATTTTGTAGTGGACCCCAGACCTCCCAGCCTTCATTGTGAAAATATATGGCCCTATCCACATACTTCCTTTCCTCGCTCCTTTTACTTTTTTGCGGGAGTAAAGCATCGCGCTCACCAAAGATCTATGTTTTCTTAATGACCCTTATGGGAGAGCTTCTTTATATCCTCCCCAACTCAGCTGACGCTCTCACTTATCCTTTCAATTATTCCCTGAAAACCAACCTTGCCATTTCCAAAAATAAAACGCTAAAGATTTGAGAGACCGGTCGCGTGGAAAATGGACTTTGCTTTTTGTAATGCTTCACAATCGCTAATCCTACTTCACCTCGGGACGTAGCCCTCATTCAACGGCTTCCGCTTCTTGTATCCCTCCCATCTTTCTTACAGCTTCCACATAATAGGACTGATCCCAGCCGGCTTATCCTGATCCGCTGCCCATGGAAAGCCGCCCAGGCGTTGGGGGCCCGATTAACGCTCCAATTCGCCAAAATGAAACATAATGTCCCACAGCCGACCCAACAGAAACGCCCGAAAAGTGAATCGAGAAGGCCCGCCACGGCTGGACGCGGCCCGCTTTTTCGGTTATTTCATCTCCTCGTAAAATGACTTTTCTGGTCTACGTTTTTTCGTACATGGCCTCTGGGTGCGAAGTGTGGCTTTCGAGGAAAATGACTTTTGGCGTCGCCTTCTCGCCGGGGCCATCATTTGCCTATTCCAAGTCTTACCCAATTTCGATGGAATTTTAGACACACTTTTTCTTGCTTCTATTTTTTCTTTTATTGCCTTACCCATTAGGGTGGCTTGGCTGGTGGATACATTTGCATTACTATAACCCCCCCTATAACAATTATTGTTTCGCGGTCCCGGTTTTTTCTTTTTGCCGTTCCTCGGTCACACAAAAAGCCGAGGCTGATAATTCTGAATCTGGAATTTTCGTTGCAGATTATGCGACTTGCTGTTTTGTATTACCGAATATGCGTATAAATTTAGAAAATGTGCCCTTTACGAAACCCAGTTCCCATGTAGCCTTTCAGCTCAAGTGTAACTCTCTTTGCATCCAAATTGTCGCTTCAAATGGTCGGTGCATTAACGAATCAGCTCATCAAAACCCATCCGGGATAACCGGTCGAAAAGGTCAGCATGCGTGGAAGGCAATTAGTATCCGAGCGAATTGGCGCCGGCCGATCGTCCACCACCCGCTGGTGCTCCTCCCTTTCTTCTATCTCTTCCCTAATTGCCCATTGAGTAACATCCCCTTCTCCCTTGATGAAGTTCGCACGCTTTTTGGCTGGGAATGGGTGGTCGTGTCACGAATTTCGAATACTTGCAAACAATGTCGGGCGACAATTTTGGTGATGTCTAGTATAGCCGACTCCCATTGATAGTTCCTAAACACAGCTATTTCATAAACAAAATCAATAAAACTTTTACTATCGTAAACAGTGGTATTAAATAGTAGGCTACGTAGTGGTAAATTTAATTCAATAATAGGCTTGAGTATTATAAATTCATTTATCAACAACTGCAACTCCCCACGGGCAATAGGTGACTAATTACCCGTGCCCACGCTCATTGCCTTTCTCGAAAGTCACCTTCCAATCCTAAGAATTCCTTCCAGCAGCTTTATTAATAGTAAAGCCAGTCGATACCATTGCAGGATTAAACGCGCGAATCCGTTTCCCGCGACGAAATTCCGCTCTGCCCTCGTTGGAGTGGGGGTCATAAGTGATTCCTATTCCCTGACCCCTTTTCGCGTCATGAACTCTGTTATTTTCGAACGTCTACCCAAATGGGCCCTCTCTTCCGTCTTCTAGCTAGTACATTCCAAAGTGTTGGGCAAGGATGTGCTTGTTCGTTCATCCCTTGCCCTCTCTCCTTTCTCGGCCCCTTTAACTTCTGTCACGCACACAACTTTACGTCCGGACAATGGGAACTCGTGGGACTTTTGTTTTGACATTTCACTTCAGCGTCTAGGGTCACTGCTTTTTCTTTTAGACGACCCCCCTTGAGGGCGTTCGCGGTTCATCCGGCAAGTGTTTGATGGATTGGCGTGGTGCGTGAAGCCTTCATATATTTTCCGTTTTTGGAAAGGAACGCCACTGGGTTTCGCGCGTTGAGTGAATCTCCTAATCCTCCCAGGTGCTAAGACGAATCTCTTCCAGGATGCAGACGTTTTTGGGCTCTTTTCATTCCCGCCAATCCGGCGGGTTGGATTCATCAGATATCACATTCATATTTTCGCTGGTTCATTGCATAATTCAATTTAATCAGATTTTGCAATTTTTGGTGAAATTATAATAGCCTTTCTTTGAAACCCCAACGTCTGGGTTTATCAGATTTCTCTCCCGTTGGTTCAAAGCATAATTAAAATCACGAGTAATTTTTTACAGTTTTTGCGATAGTTTCAGTTTAAATTATCATGAAAATCAATGATCTGAATTTTGTGATTTCCATTTTCTATTTCCAATACGAAATATTTGACGAACAAGGCTAGGAGCTCCAAAAATCTGCTAGGAACTTGAAATCTAATCTAAAGATCAGTTATTTCGCAGGAAGTCAGATTCTTTTTGAAACTATTATGCAAATGAAGTAGAGACAAACTCTGAGCTTTGATTTTCAAGTCAAGGCACGTCAGCAGTAAAGTATAATCGACTGTAATATATACAAATTATCCAGGGTAGACTAAGGGTAGGGTAACTTAAAAGATCATAGACCGTAATCCGTCTTCCGGTTCCTATATCGCACGTGTTGATGGTGGATGGAAGAGCGCGACCCACCCCACCATCCACCCCAACTGAAAGCCCCCCCCACCCACCTCCCTTCAGCCTTTTGCGAGTAAATTAGGCCCATATGCCCGGAGGCCACGAAAAAGAGACGCAAAGGAGGGAGGCTGAGGCTTTGTGGCTCACGAAATTCCGTCAGAAGGGCTAAGCCGCCCTGTACTTGCCACCCTGTCTGCCAATTGGAACCTCCACCTTCCACACCGCACCGCATCAACGCGAAGGAAAGAAGGGCGTATATATTCACTAATCCAAACATATTGATCCCCACTACGGGGCCATCCGCCCCTCCCGTGAAGCCATTTCCCCTAATATACATATTCCTAGATATTTTCGGTATATTTCTAACAATGCAGTCGATGCCTCCATACACTATTGTAACGAAAATTAAATCTGCAGCAGAAGTTTCCCATGGATTCTTATCGAACCACCGTAATTCGATGCCAGTCACCCCACAGTCAAAGCGGTCAATCAGGTAGCCGAGGCATTTGGATTAAGCCCCCCCCCCCAGACCAATTCTCATATATTCTCCGTTCCTCTGAAATGAAAGACGCCCCGGGGGAGGGTTGATTGGATCAAAAGAAATTGCTTGGGTAAATATATCCTTTTCATTATTGCGCTTCTTGGAAGAGGTGGGTCCTAAGAAAGGAGAAGTAGAAGCTCTTGTAACCTCATGTGACTTTCATGTTTTTGGACAATTTATCATCTTCTTGAAAATTATAGTTAATTTATTAACATATGCGTCTCCCTGTGCCTCATTTTTCGTGAATAGGTCTATACGTAACAATATCTGAATCGACGCTTTGGCGCGCACGTATACAGCTACTCTTTTTCCGAAGGTTTTCTGCGTAAATAGGTGTATACGTGGTAATGCCTGAATGTACGATTTAATGACAACCATAATATATCGCTGCCAATTCTCAATCCTTTCTTTCAGCTCTGAACCCGGATGCGAAAGTATGGTCATCCCGTCGATGCGCAAAAACCCAAATACCGAAAAGGCTACGAGGACATACTAATCGCATAGTAAGCCAAACTTCCTGATGCTAATTACCTTCCAAAAGCAGCAGGTCGACGACCCGAATCGAAATCTGTTGGATGAGTATTGTTCGGGAGCAAATGGCCGTGTTTCTTCCGGTGCCCCCTCACATCTGGTAACACTTACTAAAACGCGTACACTCATCGTTTTACAGGCGCCGGTGACTCAATCCTAAAACTCAACATTGGAGGCACCGTATTTCGGCTGAAAATTGCCAGCATTTTTGCGAGAAACGATGATTCGCGGCTTGTGCATTTTGCCACATTTGATTTGGAGAAGCGGCAAGCTAAATGTGATGCGTATATTCAGGTATTTATTTTGTATCTTCTATGCTAATTAATTTTTCCCAATTTTAGAGCACAGATGAATATTATTTTGAGCGATCTGCTGTACTATTCGATTCGATTTTTAAATATTACGCGACCGGACAATTGCATAGGTAATATCAACAATTTCCTAGTTGTCATTGCCGAATTTAGACCCCTCGACGTGTGCCCCAGTGAATTCTCACAAGAACTTGGATTTTGGCGAATCTCCGAGGGTTTCATGTCGCCCTGCTGCCAGCGCGGATTAAATCAACTGTAAATCAATTTAACCCCGTTTATTTCAAACAACCAACCCGCCTTTAGTCCGGCGGAACCCACGCCACCCGGGTATATCTGGCTATATAACTGAAATGAAAAAACTTTGTGGGCGTAGAAAACACACTGCGTTTTTTGTAATTAGTAAAAGTACAACTTTCCCGGGTTTTTCTGTACCTATGTCGTATTTAGGACTGGGTGTTGGTGAATCCAAAAAATGTAGCACCCCCTATCTTTAGAAGCGCTTCCCTTGAAGAATTGGCAATGAAGATTGATGAGCCTATTCAACCCAGTGATCGCTCGTTGAGGTGTTGCAATGGTTTCAAACCCCGAAAAACAACTTCCGGTTTTAGATCTCGTTTACACGCGTTTTGCGAAGGTGATGGGACGTTTGGGTCGACCCTTTCACCTTCATCAGCATATGCTTCGTCTTAATTTCAGTGATTGGTGAGCCATTTCCATCAACGTGGGTGGGCCCCCCAGCCATGCCCCAGCCATGGTAAAAAGCGCAATCTCACCCGTCACGAGATGTGGCTTATTGTCCCGATCCTGTTTCGCCATCTCTCTAAAAACGGGGAGCCGCAAAAAACGCGGAATTGAAGATTCGCGTCGGGCCATGGCCGTCCACAAAATACTTGAGATCCCGGCGACCGGAAGTCTGGGGGAAGCGGCTAACTGGAAAATTGAATTTAGGCCTCGTGCTCGGCTCGATCCACGATCTTCAAGTTCTCATAAAAAGAAGCAGAATCCGGATGGAAGCAAAGAAACGTTGCGGCTATTGGCAAATGCAACGGATATAGGTTTGGGAAATTTAACGGTTGCAGTAATGGTCAAGATACATCCCATAACTTGAAATTTAATGGAAAACTGAATGCCGTGAAACATGAGCTAACATTCTTTGGTCGAGTGGCAGTTGCCAAAAAATCGTGAAATAGCTGCTCGCTTCCGGTCACGTATTGCAGTACTTCTTTGGCTGCGGCTGTCATCGTTTTATTTTACAAATACAAAAAAAGAATGTTTTTTTAGAATTCCTTTGTTTTAAATTTTGGTGATTGTGTTTAGGATATGCAAATAGTCCTATTTAGGCAATACCACGGAAGAGATATATGCAGGTGCCCTTGTACCCCCAATACCTTTGAACCACCATTCATTTATACATTATTTTTTTGCTTATTTTTGCTGACATTATCATTGAATTCGAAGAGCTAGTGAATCCCCCCACACAAATATCCATTGACTGCATGCCGGCTTATCGCTTTTCTTCCGTTTCGTAATTTCCTACCCCGAAAAAAACACACTAATCAATTCCTATAACCTTTTTCTCTTAGAAAGCTTATTAGCGGATGCGGTGGTGAAAAGGGGTCCGGTTCTTTAAAATATTTTGTTATTTAGCCGATGATCCGGATGTGATCTGGGAGCCAAATCCAGCATTTGGATATGTGGAACCAGTTTGTATTCTCTGGTATGAAGAATATTTGAGATTAAACGGTGAGATTTTCAGGTTTACATTCGAATACCTACTCCGAATTATCGTAACTCCAAATCGGTTACAATTTTTCTGCGGTAAGGACCAAGAATAGATTTGAAGAACATCTAAATAGGTATTATGAATATCGTGGATCTAATAGCCATCCTGCCGTTCTATCTCGAGATGGGATTATCCATTTTTGGAATAGACATCGCTAGTTTGTCCGATATTAAAGGTTAGTTTTAACGGGATTTTTTGTTTGTTTTATGGGTGAGGGGACTTAATATGAGTGCAAAAATACATAGTAAAGTGTTTTAGTAAAGTTCAACAGTGTTACAATTGGAAAAGCTGTCTAAAATTCTAAAATACTTAGAAAATGTTCGAAAATGCGCAATCTTGGTGATAAATGGTCATTTTTGGTAGAAAACCGATAATTTGTGTAATTTTTTGATTGCAAAAATTTTTATACCTGGCGATAGTAAAAAAGTTCAGAAATAAGCGCTTATTTGCCTTAGAGAAATCGGATCCCGAAGGAAAACTTGTTCTCCGACAATGCGACGCCTTTCTTACTTTTCTAAACATGTTTATAGGAGCCCTACTTGTGGTTCGTGTGCTCCGAGTACTACGTGTGGTTCGTATTCTAAAACTGGCCGTTATTCGTCCGGAATGTGGACGTTTGCCCTAACACTACGGTCTTCGGCCCGTCAGCTCGGGATGATGGGAATGGTGAACATTAAAAAGTATATATAATACCAAAATATTCTAGGTGCTTTCTACGGGTGTGGTCTTTTTCTCAACATTGTTATATTTTGTCGAGAAAGACGAGAAGGTTAGTAATAATCATTAATACATACGAATTACGATGATGTGATTTAGGACACTCCATTCAACCTCTATCCCGGCTGCTTTTTGGTGGGCCATTGTCACAATGACAACTGTTGGTTACGGTGATTACGTACCCGTAACAATCCGTAAGTTTTTAATAAATGCTTTTATACATATCAAGCTTTTAGCCGGTAAATTAACTGCCTCTGGGCTACTATTTCTGGGGTGTTCGGATTGGCACTTCCCATCACCAACATCGTCGACAACTTTATGAAAGTCTCTGGGAAGCGGTTCATGTACGAACCCTCCAATAATATCCAACCATTTACGATTGCATGCGGGAAGATCTGTAAGTCGGAGTGGTGCAAACAAAAACTCATGGTGTCCGGTGTGCACGCCGGCAATAGATTTTTGGTGCGCTCAAAAATGGCAAAAACAAAATCGTGAATAATCAAGTGGTATTGTTTGGTGGATAACAGTTCTGTGGCTGAAAAAACGGGCACTTGCAAAAGACGACTAATTGACGGGCTAGTCTGGCCACATGCAATCGTGGAATTTTATGAAAGCGGTGGTTCTTGGTTGATCACTAAAAACCAATTTAGCATTGTCGAATAATCATCAAGTCCACAGTACCATGCCCTCTGGCCCCAAATGGTATAACAAATCAACGTCTCTCCCTTCTCTACTTTCCTTTTTCTAACCAAACATGCACAGCCAAGTTTCAAAGTTTGATAATGTACATTTTAGATAATTTGTTACCTCTCTCGCTTCAGAAATTTAGGCTCTATAAGTCTAATACCCCTAAAACTACATTGTCGCAAAATTCTATAAAAACACAACTTCTCGACTATCTTGTAAAAACACTTGTGCTTTGTCCGTCCTGTCGCACAGTGCTGTGTTTTTCTACAAATTTTAATTGTGGGGACTTGTGTCGGGTGTTTTTGGTTTGGTAAAGCTCTCGCGTCGACCTAACGCTTCACCAATGCCAACATGAAAATATTTGAAAAATAAATTGGGCTTTTTCTAGCACCCACAACACTTCCACCATCCCGACCCACCGCCAGCACCAACCCCGACCCCAAATCGGATGACTGCATAAAAATGATATTGAAAAGATTTGCATATTGTCTGGTCCATCCCCATAGATTTCTTACTCCCTTCCCATCCTGTGACATTGTTTTTGAAACATGACAAACCTCATATCCCCCCACAAAATTCTAGTTACTATGAACGACAATCCTTGTAATTCTGGTTATTTTCCGTCTCTTCAACATGGTGCAACATGAATTTGTATCGTGAATTCCCGTTCTTACTTCCGCCCCCTCCCCCCAAACACCAAACACCGATCTCTCTCAGCCTGACTCAAAAAGTGTTTTTCATGTAGATTTTGAGTTTTAGCAGATACACACTTTAAAGATTATGCTGAAGATAACAAGACAAGGACGCCGCTTCGACGCTACCTCTATGAAAAAAAAACGTGGCTGTGTCAGATCAGATCAGACCAATAACTACGAAATCCGCATCAGGACGACTGGTTGCGCTTCTTCTGTGTAAAAACATCATTATCACAACAACGGATCACCTCAAATTTGCACGTTATGGCAGTAACCTTGACCTTGGTTGGCATAAACAAGACTTCCCTTACAGCCTTATACACAGACTCCAACAAAACAGTGGCCCTAGAAGAATCCCTTTCCTAAAGTCACGCCTTGTTAAACAAATTACACCATTCTCCTGGATTCGCCCTTGTTCTTGCATTTTCAGATACCTTGCATCATTCTTAGGAAAGCAGCAATTCAGATCCCCTCCGCGTTCTTCCTACAATTCCCGAGGTGGGAATCGGACGACGCAGTTCGACCAAATTCCTAGTTGCCAAGATTTATCTCGGTTGGGATCTGGGATGGTCGTGATGCCCATCGCCCACTTTCACCAAATGGCTACCGTCCCCCTTTGATTCTCGACCGGTGCTATTTTCGCGAAAAAATACGGTTTTGGTACTCTATTTTTTAATGAGCCAGTTAAGCAGCCTGCCTCCGACAATCTTTTGATGGTAAGGTATCCAGATTCGTCAATCCCCTATGGCAGTGACGTGCTGAGACGGGATTTCCGCTGCTCCATTTAGGCAACCAAAACACGGGCGCCGCAATCTTCCTCGGCTCTTAGACTACGGGACCGACGATATGGGACCGAATACGAATCAGTCACACGCCCCCCCGCCACGCATTTTGAATCGGAAATCGACATACGAAAGCGTCTCGACATGACATTTTATCGCAGTAGCCGCGCCAGCACTCCGCTTATCGTTACTTTAAAAAAGTAGCAGCGTCGAATTCCTTAGGTATAAATTTTCAATAAGAAGCTTGGTAATAGTTACAATGAAATCCTCGCAAAGATTTCCTAGGCTTCTCATAAGAATGGGCATGTACAACGAGGTTGTCGCTTCCCTTGGTAGGCTAGAGCTGGTAATCCATAGGGGATTAACCAAAGATTACTTGTCTCCGTGGTTTTCGCTGCTTACATGTTACTCTCCTACGCTGTTTCGGTTTTTATAATAATAAACCGCTAATTACCGTCAGGAACCTTGGAAAGGCGCCTGGGGTTCCTTTGCACAGTCCATGCACTTATGATAGGTGTTTCCCGCCTTTTCTCGTGGTAACGCGCAAATAGCGTTAGCTTTAGTGCATCAAAGTGTCGGTATGTCCTGGGGGCCTTCCGGGGTCGCGTATCAGATAATTAGTATCACTTCAATCAAGAAACAAGTAATCAAATAAGGAAACAAATTGGCAGATCCTAATACCATGGGCATGCGTTTGTGTTAACAGACCTGTCTGAGTCACGACCCCTGTGGGCTCATTATAATTGAATCACTGGTCATATGGACCTCCACTAACCTTTTTCCTCTCTTTTTTTCCACAACCACGCCATCGAACAGCCTGCTCCGTCTCCAACGGGCTTGTGAAAACATCTACCACGATCCTGATCTGATCCTGGAGGGGACACGAAAAGCGTCTCTTCTCGCCAGCCTCCCTTTTCTCTAATATCCAGCCCCTACACCCCTCTCCTTCTTTCCCTTTTCTATTTCTTTCTTCCCATCTCCTACACGAATAGCCGTCCTCTTTCCCTGCCAAATGGCTCCCTCCCTCCCAGTCCTCAACAGCTCTTTTTCCACGATGCTCACTACAGCTCTCATCTCGTGCGCTCTTTTCGTTCTCTCTGCCATGTAGACCTTTCTCCTCTATTCCTTCTCCTCCAACAGCCACTTTCAGGGCCACGAGCCTCCAAGCATGGCCACTTTCGGCCATTCCTTCCGCCTGATGCCCTATCAAAATGGGCCGGATTTAGCCAATCAGGGCGTAAAAAGTTATTTTGAATTCGGGGATTGTTTTTTAGAAAATTGGCTTTATTTTCGTTTAAGAAAATCGGCCTAGAATTTTAGTATTTGGTTGGCTGGGTAGGGACGTTTCACTTGAGTATTTTGGCGTACTTCATATATTTCCATCAATCTTTAACGGATAAACTTCTATCTGAAAAATATGGAAAAGATCTACCTTAGTCCTTCCCAATCTTGTAGCGTTTTTTTGCAAATTACGACCTTTATAACAATTTTCATTTTTGCCGTTTGCGGATACCATGACAACAAATCAAACACTCAACAATTATATGATCCTTTACGGCGCGTTTTTATCTCAATTTTTCCTCCTGCCCCTCCCAGTCACCTGTTCCAAAATGAACAGCTGAACAAAGCTGTCAGCTCCTGGGGCCAAGCAGCGGGTCGAAAAGTCTGACGCCTCGAGAATATGGCCCAAATCATGCCACCCACAGTTATCTGCCCACCCCCCACCCGCCATTCCTTTCCTCTTTCTTTCCTTGCTGCAAAATTTGTAAACATCCGTTTCCGAAAATAGTTATCCCATGTCTTGTCCAGCAGCCCCCAATTTTCATGGCTCCCTGCAAGACGTGTTATCTTCCCTTTACGAAACCGGTGGCAACGCTTCGATTCTCTGTAACAATTTTCTGAGTTTCTGCAGGGATGAGCACAGTCGGAAAGCTACCGCCGGTCACTTCTAGGCGTCTGGTCCAGGCGGCTGGTACGTTCACCCAAAATTAACATGAATGCAATTTCAGAGGGCTCATAATGTGAGTGCTAGTGAAAAGCCGGGACGAGAAGCCGGATGCGGCTGCCCCAGATCCATTCAAGAGCTTCTATGTTGGTTGTTTAATCGGTATCTATAAGCTCATTTTTAGTACAAAGACCTCATCACCACGCCAGCAATGGGTGACCAAAGAAAGCCGGTCCTAAAACCGGCGCTCCCACTAAAGTTCAAGGCATACCTATGCCGACCATATGGTAACTATTCCCTGCTAATACCAGATTATTATTTTTAGGTAGATGTTGACTGGACTGATAAGACTGGATGGGGAAAGCCTCACCTCAAACCTTTAGTCCCATTCAAACTCCATCCCGGAGCAAAAGGTTTGGAGTTTTAAATTTTGCCTCAAACAGCTGATCTCTTGAGCTCTCACTTTATCACCGGTAGCTGGTCACCTTCAGCACAAAATAGATATCGTAGGAAAAAGAAAAAGAAAACCCAGGCCATCCAACGAACGTTCAGCTATTTCTCTATTTGGGAACCCATTGGTCCCCCCTGACCATCCGGCCAGCCGGCCAACTAAGTGTCCTGTCCGCTTCACCTCGATTTTGTTTTGATTGGCACTTTGATAAAGAGGCCTAGCTGATCCGCGAGAATGGATTGATATTGCAAAAATGGTCTTTCGGAGAAACTGAACTCCTTACGAAAGCCCGATAGGGGATCCGGGCTACCGGGTGGGAGGCGACAGTTGTTCGAAAATTTGAGGAGTCAAGAGAATACGTCCTAGCCATTCGGGCCTGACGAAAAAAACTAAAAAAAGGAAAATGTGGACTAAGAGCCCCGGGTAGCAAACATAAGTGATTTTCAGGTGTTGCACTATGCGATCGAATCCTCGAGGGCATGAAGGCGTACCGCGGTGCTGACAATAAAATTCGGCTCTTCCGCCCGGAGGAGAATATGAAGAGGGGATGAAGAGCTCCGCCAAAAGATCCGCGCTTCCAGTAGTAAAAGCCATGAAATTTACGTACGCTCCTTTAGGACTTCGACGCCGACGAATGCGTGAAAATTATCACGGATCAAGTGCTGCTTGATATGGATTGGGTTCCAGCTTCATCCACTTCATCGCTCTATATTCGCCCTACTTTGATTGGAACTGACGTAAGCCAATTTACTCCTATAGATCCAAGTTATTTCAGCTGACCCCTGGCGTTGGTGATGCGCATATGGCCAAGCTCTTTGTCATTTCCTGGCCGCTGGAGCTTATTATGAGACTGGCTTCCAGGTTAGTATAAGATAATATTTTGTAACTTTAAAAGCCATACGTGTGCTTGTTGCTTCGAGCATCAATTATCGAAGTATTTTTAGCCCGTCTCCCTTCTTGCTGATTCCAAATATTGCTGTGCTTACAGCGGCGGTGTTGGTCAATACAAAATGGGGTTGGTAATATTATCTCCATGTTTTTGCAAAACAAATTCCTTTAGCAACTACGCCCCCACCATCTGGGTGAACAATATTGCTGCCAAGAAGGGATGTCAGCAGGTATTTTGAAAACGGTTGAAAACATTATAAAAAAATAGGTTCTCTGGTTGCACGGTAAAGAAGAACAGCTGACTGAAGTCGGAACCATGAACATTTTCGTTTATTGGATCAATAAGGATGGAGGTAAGATAAAAAAAGTGCTTCCAAAAAAGTTTGATTTCAGAAAAGAGCTGTGCACACCGCCACTGTCATCTGGTCTGATTCTACCTGGAGTCACCAGAAACTGCATAATCGATCTCGCCGAGCAGTGGGGCGCGAATTCAAGGTAAGAAGACAATCTAAAACAAACAAAAATATTTAAGGTCACCGAGCGTACCGTCACAATGAACGACGTTCGAAAGGCGCTGAAGGAAAATAGGGTTCGTGTAGTTCTACGTTGATTCTTCCTTTTCAGCTCCTCGAAATGTTTGGCGCTGGCACCGCTGTGTGGTTTCGCCGGTGGGCAAGATCGTGCACGAAAATCCGGTACGAGAGTGGGCCATCTTTTAGAAAACTTCGTTTTTTAGGAAAATGGCAAGACTGAGGAGCTGCATATTCCAACCATGGAAAGCAAAGACAACCTGTTGCAGCGGTTCTATATTACGCTTACTGATATTCAGGTAAGAAATTTAAAACCCAGCTTTTTTTATGTAAACCGAGTTCCTAAAAAATTGTGTAGTATGCACGAAATATGTAGGGATTTTACTTAAAGTAATTTTCTCCGGTGAATTAAGAAATCCTTATTGGTTATTGAACTTACCATGTATTATTTATAACTACTAAAACTTAAATTTAGTACGGACGCAGCGGTGACATGCCACAGTGGACGAAAATCATCAACTAAAGAAAGCAATTCTACCCAATCGTCCCCGATGTTCCCCGATATTCTCCCGGTTCCCCTGCATTTCACTACTCAATATACGGCAAAGCTGTAAACACAATCCCGCTCCTACAAACATGACCTCCACCAACCTAGCCAAGATAGGATTTAAACGTTTTCACCCATGATTACAATCGCAACGAGTTCAACCCTGCAAAAAAACCAGGGAAAGGACGGATAATGCTTTCAAGTCCAAATGTGGCCGTTGTGGTGAATTTGAATAATTTCACGCCTTCCCATGCCTCACCCCTGGAATAAAGCTCCAATGAAATGTTATTGTGATTGGTTGATGTCGAGTGTTGGCATTCCTATCGATCTAATCACTGGCCCTCAAATTACGCATGCAATTCACGACTTTATTAGATAATCCCCCCTGTTTACCGGATCCTGGTGTATTCATTGCCGTGTGCCATTTGTTAGTTCCCGTCAGGGGAAAACTCGACCGGCAATTTAACTTCTATATTCTATCAATAAATGGATAAAAAGGCGCGAATTCTGTAAGGAAAGTCCCCTGATTTTGGCAGATGGAACTTGGGAAATTAATCGACGATAGGCGCGACGTGTAGGCACAACCAGGTGCAAACCAGCCGTTGCAATCAAGACATTTTTTTGCTTTTAACAATTCCTCCTTAGGCCTATATTTAAAGCTTCAACAAGATTCGCTTTATTCGGTTCTCTTCCTTCGCTTTTTATAATCCTTCACAACCACACGAAAATACACAGTTTTGAAAACGAAAATTTCTGAGGGGGGAGGGGAGGGGGATGGGGGTGGGAGGAAGAGGGAATATTCTGAACGTTTTCACCGGGGGGTTCGTGGCGCAACGGGGGGATACGAATTGAGTGACCAGATTTGCAACAGATTTCACCGGTATTGCACACAAAGTCACAGCAGCATCCAACATCTAGAGAGAATTGGGCGGGCCGGGAATCGATTTGGATCTTTGGGAGCTCCGCAGCCAATTGTGTGCGTGTTTTAAACTCGATTTTTGGGACCTTTTTGGGATATTTTTGGTACGAGTGGTAGAACTGGGGCCACAAGCTAAATACATCGGTGCGGTGACTCGCTGAGGTTTTTGAGAAAAATGGGGGCAAGCTGGGTGGGGGTAGGGGTAGAAGATCGGGGAGGAGGAGGAGGATGGTATCGGAAGAATCGTTTTGTGGGAAGGCGTCTTACTGTTGGCCGAAGTTCGGGTTGTGGATCTGAAACGACGGAATGAAAATGGGCATCTCATTATATTCATTTGAGCTACGGAGTAATCCGGAAAAGACATTGTCACAGTTTGCATACGAAAATCGTTGATTTTTCAATGGTAGTCCTGGCATTTCTGGAACATCTTTTGGATGATACGTCTACGGAAATTCCCTCATATTGTCGTAACCACCCCTTTTTCTATTTTCTAACTTCATCTCTCAAAAGCAGGTCGAAAACGCCCACCCTTAATATCACCGGTGGGGGCTAATCCGGGGCACTCGTAGACGGAATAGTTGTTTTCGTCGTCGGCGCACTCCTCGTCTTCGGATTCGATTGCCGACGCCTACGAATATGAGCCCGGTGGGACGCATTATTTGGGAGCAATGGCAATATTGCGCGTGTGTTGATTTAAGGATTGCAAAAGTTCCGCAGTGTGGACATACACACCGGTAGTACACTTACAAAACTCACCAGGGGCCTCGTCACCGGGAATGATCTTCTGCTTGGCCTGTTGGTAGTGGTGAAGTTGAGCTTTGCTAGGCGAGGCATCATCTCCCTAAAATATTTTTATGCCTATAACTGCATTTTAGAATTTTACTCTGATATATGGAAAAAGTGTAGGTAGTTTTTGGCTTTAAGATTATTATGGTTATGACAATCTGGCTCAGCAACAGCAACTTTGCATAAAGGGGCATAGAGAGCGATTTTCATGTTTTTGTGATTTGTATTGATGAAGCTCTACCCAAGCATCTTTGTCTTTAATTTCCCATCGACCGTACATACCCGTTGCGAGGCCTTTGACTTACCTTGTCACCGCGCTTTCCACGCTTGAAAGGTCCCGTGCCGGCTCGTATGGCGCATATTCGTTGGCGTCCGGGTTCTCCTTGCGACGCGCCTGAAAATCCTCGAAATCCCGTTTCCGGTCACCGATTCCCGGCCACGAATTCGGCCCAGAAAAAAGAAACCGAAACGTATGGCCTACCCTGTAGTAGATACCGCCAACAGCTCCACCAACAACGCCAACGACGAGCACGCAGGCAACAGCTAAAGAGATGGATTAATTGTCGTACTCGTGCTAGTAACCGTAATGTTTTTGGACAAATGGTTTTGAAATTTATATTATATTAGGTTTCAGCATTTCTATGTAAACAATGCCGTAGTCATTCCGCTACACTAAAAAACTCTATTGTCCTGCCCACCCCCACCTTTAGCCTGCCTATTCACTTAGCCCCGCCGGGGCTCCTGGAAGCGGCGGAGGGGTAAGCCATTATGGGTAAACAAAAAAAACTGGCGGGCGCCTGGCCAAAAGGTAAGTCGCCTTTGTTAAGTATAGATCATTAATTACTTTTAATATTTTGACAGCTGCACTCTCGGATTGTCCGCTTACCCATCATGGTCAGGTTGGTGTCACCACGAGGCGAGAAAGAGTTGCCGTGGATGGATTAGAGACATCCGACGCTTCTCAGGCTCTGCACATCGCGTTGTCGTTTTCAGGGCGGAACCTCTGGCTCTTCGAACGAGATTATGCTCGCTTTGGCCCCTATTCAAAGAAATCGATCACAGCTGTTTTGCCTGCGCTCAGCCCGATCCCAAATCCCCCCAACAAACACCATTAGCCAAGACCCTGGCAATAAAGTCGGGTAAATAACGCGTGGTTTTTTTTTGGTTTGACATCCCCCTTTCCATCCAACTCTCCTCCAAACAAATTTCCCTTTTAGCCCTCCCGAGGACAACGAGCCGTAACCCGATCCCTTTCCTCACGCAAAAAATCCCTTTTTCCTTTCAGACCCTATCCGATAACTGATGAAAAGGATCTCCTGGGAAAATCTTAAACCCCTCACCTTCTTCTGCGGCTTTCCGACAGGTGTTTCTTCAGCCAGCTGTTTCATTTGTTTCGACCTTCTGAAGAAAATGTTAAGGGCTTCTGAGAATCAGGGCAACGCGAACAAACCTCCACCTGCTGATTGGGTTCCGGCTCAGGCTGTTGTTGCTCTTGCTGCCGGGCAGCCTCGATGGGCTCACAAAATAGGTGAGCGGAATAGAAAATAAAGGAAAAAGGACATTTTCTATCTCAAAAAGCTTACCCTGTTCGGGGCAGAGACTCGGCTTCTTGCTCAGCCAAGCTAGCGATAATTTCGGATAGTTTCTGGTGGTAGGCCTCATCATCTTGCATTAGCATTCTCTTCTTCCAAAAGCCGCTGCTCCACACAGCTAAACAAATTAGCATAAATCGTAAAGTCTCTTATAAATGTGCGTACTAGATTCATTGTAGTCCCTCCTGGGGAGCCCTCAAAAGTGAATCATAATCATTAACATCGCTTGTTACGTCTCAGCTTCTCCTCTGAAAAATTGCTTTGTCGGTTTTTGCTTGATTTACATGAGTGAACCTTGTTTAAGATTCAAATTCAGAAACCATCCGTTCCAATCCCTCACCATTTTCAGATTTCAACGCTTTCAAAACCTTAACAGCCCTTCTACCCCCCGTGGGATTCCAGAAGCGTAAATATGCTCATCCGGCCACCCAATTTGGGAGTGACAAACAAAATCTTGTAGTTGCTCGTGGGAATGCCCAAGATTTCATGGGATCATTTTTTAGCGGCTCTGCCTGATTAAAGGCGACGGGTCCTAGGGAACCAGAGGCTTTTTGCGCGGTCATTCTCCCCAGCAGGCACCTGGGGCACCTTTTTTTGTCTGGGCAGGGTGGTGGAGACAATTCGTACTCGATTGCTCTGTGATCCAGGAAAGAGGAGAGGGGAAGGGGCCAATCAGACGGTGGAAGCGGGCGATTAAGGGGGTAGGCCTTACAATTAAGGTTGGGCTTGGAAAGCGGGAAAGCATGTGGGATGTTAGTGATGAACTTTGAGTTCAGGCCAAATCTGGGGGTTAAGAGCGAAAGGATGAATTAATGAACTGAACCATCGGATGGTTTTCAATGTAATAAAAACCTGCTTATGTCTGGGCCATGATTTTGCCGTCCTCTTTCTTTGCAAGTCTGATCATTTAGCGAAATTTCCGCCCTCAACCCCTCCATTTTTGTTGCAAACACGGTGACACCCTCTCATTGGCAGCCCTAATTTGTCATTCAAAAAGCCACCCTCCCCGATCTCCCCTCCATCTCCTCCAGAAGATGCCCAAATTCCCATTGAGGGCCTCATCTAGTGGGAGCGAGCAGGAGAAGCGACGAGGAGGACACGCTACCCAGAATGTCTGCGTGGCGCCCCGTCCCCGCTGGCAGTCTCGAAGAAATCGAATTATCTGGGCCCCTATTCACTCGAGTGCCAGCCTTCAGCCGGCATTCCAATGCCCACTCCCCGCGATCTCCAAATGAGCACGAGACCCCGTGAGGGAGAAAGGGTGGAGGTCTCTTTGCAATAAAAATGAAGCGCGGCCAGTGAGTCAGGGCACTCCAGGCTTAGTAATGGCACCTTCCAAAGCTCCATAAATTGGTAACCAGGGTCCAACTATTCTTTGATGGTAGGAAGGTTTCTCCAGTTCTTCGGCTCCACGCTTTCCCATGCAATTTGAGAGTCTCCGGGGACCCGGAACTTACTCATCAAGTAGGGCTGGGGCACCAAATTAACTACACCGGTGCCATCCCAGGCGGTGAGGCCCACATTCGAAGGGGCATTGCTTTGTGGGGGGATTAGTTTTCGGCGCTGGACCGGGCGACGAGGTGCGGAACTAGTATAGCGATGTGGGTGTATTTGGGAAAATCGGATTTGGCGCAGATTAGGCGAGAAATTTTAGGGGGGATGATGGGATTAATGGGCTCACGTGTGGAGGTTTTTTAAAGATGCGCAATCAAGGATCATCTTATTTGGCATGATGATGTGGTGAGGGTTATTATAATGGCTTCTACGAAAATAGGATCGCTTCGCTAAGGAAGAGTTTGGAAAGACAGCGGTATCCAGATAACAGCATTTACTGGGCTGAAAGGAGCTTGGGACGATTCAAAATCCCCTTGAAAGGCGAGAGAGAACGTGCTTTTGTTTTAAAGATTGTTTGGCATAAACTCGACTTGTGATTTTCGCGTTTTTTTATACTCGTAAAACCTAAAACACTGATTTTTACGCCGGGTAGGAGGGAAGTTTTCGATAAAAATAAAAAATTGTTGGCACCGAGCCGCTACAGGAGCGCGTTTTTGTGATAGGAAGCACTTTGCGCATAGCGGAAGTACTTGAAGTCAACGTAAGCTTATGAATCTAAGTATGCCTACAGTGCTCTTAAATACCACAATTCATTTCCCGCTGTTTTCACTCGTCCCCACCATCTAATATCAGCAGCATTTTATCAGAAAAACCCTTTTTCCGTGGGTAATTTCCCGTCCTCCTCCTTCCGATCACAAGACGCCAATTTCCACGGCAGGGTTGCCCTCTTCCCAGCCATCTCCATCTCCCCCTCCTTCCCATCTTCCCTATTCGCGGATTGTGTGAGGCCCTATCCCTATTAGTAAAGTAACTCCGCACTCCCACCAACACCAGCCACCACTCCCGCAACATCACCATAGAAACCCGGCGCCCCCAGATTCTCTCATTGAAATTAGGCGGTCACCAAAAAAATGTGTGCCTCGAATTGTTTGGCCAAGCCAGTTTCACTCGGGCCCAACTTGACGTGTTAGCCGAATTATAGCCCATTTTGGGCCGGAGGATAGGAGGTGTGTGCCTATTGACAAATTCCAAGCGTTTCCGCTTTCTTGTGTGCTTACAGAGTGAGGAAACCGGAAGAGTCGGTGATGAAAATACTTAGTGGTTCAGATTTGCAAAAAACCAGTCAACCGTGAGTCTGAGGGCCTGTTGTTTTCAGTTTTCCCCTCTGAGACGCGATGCCTCCCGGCAAGATCTGCCGTCCCGGAATTCGTGCGCAATTAAAGGCAAGTGGAAAGCGAGGGCGTGGCCCGGAATGCCTCCGTTTGCCAAGCTCTTCGAAGGGAAGGAGGACCTGCTTCCGGAAAAACCTCCCCCTAGGCCACCAGTCATTGAAGAAAAGCGGCCCAAATTGTCGGCCAGAACTGGCCGCCCGGCATTTGCCCGCAAAAAACATGCCATACCTTTGAATAAGCGATAATTGAATGGTTGTAAATGGGTGAGTAGGTAGGCCCTTCTGACCCCGTGGACCAGAATTCAATGCAAATGACGTAAGGGGAAAGCTTAGCGCCAAGCATTGACATTGTTGAGCTGGTTTTTTTTGGTGGAAGAGGGGATTGCATGACGGAATGGCGAGTTTGAGATCCGCAAAAATGATGCGGGAGCAAGGTGAAAACAAAAGGCAAAGGCAAAATAAACTCGTGAAAAGCTTATCGACTGAAGGAAATAAGAATTTCAGCTATTGGCGCGTTCCTTAACCCGGGAATAAACAAAACAAGCTTAAAATTATCTTCTAAATCTAGAAGACAACTGCTTTTTTGCCGGATAGTCGGCTGCTCTTTTGGCCTTTTGACGCTGGCGTCGCAAAATGATAGCGCTGGTATGCGAGAAATCATGCAAATCTTGATTTCGCTGCGATAATTAGATTTCTAGTGTACATCTCTTGATCTAAAAACAGCGCTACGTTGTACTTTAAATTTAATGATCCTAGTTAAATTTACATAAAGGTCCGCCGATAAATAGCAGGAAATTCCTTAAAAACCAAAAACAGAGAGTACAAATCAGCGTTTCTTTCATCTTTTTTTTCTACGAAGCCAGCTGATTCTGAATTCGCCGGACTTACTACCTTTTCTTCAAAGTATATTTCGTTTTATATCACGAATGATCAAGCAGTGGGCCTTAAAAACAAGAACAGTTTTAAACCATTTTTCACACTTAAAGTGCAAAAGTAGAAAATGGAAGCTAGCGACACCGTTGGAAAGCATATTATAGGCCATACATTCGCAATACAATAAACACTTACCCAAGAAGAGGAGGCAGAAGCGGACGGCGCGAGAAGCGCGGCGGCGAGTAGCACGCGCCAGCGCCACATCCCCTGTCCGGAGGGGAGTGGCCGCCAGGGGCCCACAGGTCCCCCTTCCTCCCCCTCCTCAAGCGCCCGCCCCATCGATCCAGATGACGTAAGCCTTCTCCCTTCAGAAGACACCCCTCCCTTCCCTCCCTCTTCTTCCATTCCTCTTCCCCTTCTCTGACCAGACCTCTTCTATCGCTAGGCCCCGAAGCCCCTCAGGGCCCTTTCCCCCTCATACTCTCACAAACACCAAACCCACTCCAATTCGGCAACCCAATCCAGGCGGTCGCGATTAAAATATGCACGAAAAAACGACTTCACCCCCTCGCGCCACGAGAGCCGCCCAATTCCGGTCGACGACGCAAACAAGCTGGCGCTCAATTTTGAGGACTCCTGGAAGATGGAGCAAATCTGATCAAAAATTCTGATATTTTCCGATAGATAAATTTTTATCTTC